AAAAAATGTGAAGATCTAATGCAACAAAAACAGTCAATTCAAACTGCATTTGATAGGCAATCCACTCAAACAAAGCTCGAACACTGAATTCGTTTAAAGGCTTCAATGGAGGCGGTGAGACTCCTTCTGAATCAAGGATTAACATTCCGCGAATATCGTGAAGATGAATCATCATTAAACAAAGTTAACTTTCTTGAAATCCTTAAGTGGTATGCGAAAAGGTGTGATAAAATCTGTGATCTTGTGTTGGAAAACGCTCCAAAATATGATAAGTTGACTTCTCATAAAATTCAAAATAATATTGTCACTGCATGTAAGCTTGAGACAATTAAAGCTATCATAGTGGATCTAAATGGTGACAATTTTGCATTGTTAGTGGATGAATCTTGTGACATTTCACGCAAGGAACAAATGGCTATTGTCTTGCGCTATGTTTATAGAATGGGAGTTGTGGTGGAGCGGTTTATTGGGATCGTACATGTTCGTGGCACTAGTACTTTATGTTTAAAGGAAGCAATTGCTAATTACCTTGCTCAACATTCTTTGAGTTTATCTTATGTACGTGGACAATGCTATGATGGAGCAAGCAATATGCAAGGGGATCTAAGTGACCTTAAAACTTTGATTAAAAAAGAAAGTAGATGAGTTGATTCTATTCATTGTTTTGCTCATCAACTTCAACTAACCCTTGTTGCAGTCTGTAAAAAATGTCTTGAAGTGTAAGAACTTGTGTTGTTGGTTTCTAACGTATTAAATGTAGTGGGAGGTTCTTTTAAACGTATGGTTGATCTTCGACAATCTCAAGCAGAAAAACTTCAAGAGGCATTAGATATGGGAGAGCTTGATACTGGCAAGGGTTTAAAACAAGAACTTGGTCTAGCTAGAGCTGCTGATACTCGTTGGGGGTCGCATTATAAATTTTCTAAGAACATTATTAATATGTTTGGCTCTATTATTGATGTTCTAGATACTATCGTTGTTGATGCTCGATCTTTAGAAGAAAGAGCTAAGGTGACAAGATATCTTAGAACATGTCAAACATTTTAGGTTGCTTTCATGTTACACTTAATGAGAGAAGTTTTGGTGATCACAAATGAGCTTAATGCATCCTTACATAAGAAAGAACATGATATTGCAAATGTTGTTCTACTTGTTGATGTGGCAAGGAAACGATTGCAAAGCCTAAGGGATGAATGATGGGATCCACTTATTGACAAGGTGTCTGCATTTTGTATCAAGCATGGCATAGTGATACCTAATTTTGATGAGTTCTATGTTAACTCTGGAAGATCTCGACGCAAAGTTGCAGAGCATACCATTTCACATCATTATCGTGTTAATGTGTTTATTAAGATTATTGATTGGCAACTTCATGAACTCAAAGAGCGTTTTAATGAGGAGACAACAGATTTGCTTATGGGAGTCGCTTGCTTGAATCCAGTTGACTCATTTTCTAGTTTTGACATCAAGAAGATATTGAGAATGGCTGAATTATATCCTGATGATTTTGATGAAAATAGTATGATTACTCTTGAGAATAAGCTTGCGACTTATATCGTTGATATCCGTGATGTTGATGAAAGGTTCTCTAATTTAAAAGGACTTAGTGATCTTTCTGAAAAGC